GGAGGGAATGGGAGCGATCTCTAGAAGAATAAAAGGTTGTTTTTTAAAAAAATGAGTAAGAGCATGGAATAAGATAAGCGGGGAAAGGAAAGGACAAGGTACAGTTGCGTTGACTGCATCTGAGTTTTATTCCATCTGGCAGGAGATTCGCTGCAGTTGCTCTTTCCCAGTTGAAAAGCTGTGAAGTTGGAGACCTGGAGGCAGGTTTATGACAGGTAGCCGTGCCCATCTGCTTCCAAAACCACAAACACAGAGTTGTTGTGGCCCCTTTAAAACAAAGACATTTACCTCAAGGTCAGCATTCATGGCCACTGGTCCCATCACCTCCTGGCAAATAGAAGGGGAAGATATGGAGGCAGTGACAGATTTTACTTTGTTGGGCTCCATGATCACTGCAGATGCTGCCAGCAGCCATGAAATTAAAAGGTGCCTGCTTCTTGGGAGGAAAGCGATGACAAACCTCGACAGCAACTTAAAAAGCAGAGACATCACCTTGCCGACAAAGGTCCACATAATCAAAGCGATGGTTTTTGTGAAGGAGCATCCCTCAGCTTCATGGGCTCCATATGGTTTGAGAATTCAGCTCTTATGAGCACCAAGCAGGCTGGCTTAATGGCTGGGAGTGCTGGCAGAGGTAGTCTAAAAGGTCTGGTGGGCTCCAGGTTTGGGAGGGCCCAACAGGATCTGGAAGGTCCCTCTGATGGGTTTTGTCCTATCAAATCGGAACAGACTTATAGTGACCCTAATAGGGGTTCCGAAGTGAGTGAGATATTTAAGGAGCGGTTTTACAAGTGCCACATCCACCGTGAGTTACCCTGGCTGCGCACGGATTCGAACCCAGCTCTCCTGAGTCCATAGCTCTATCCACTACACCAGACTGGGTATCTATATTCTTCCAGTGTCTTGTATACTGCAAAATGGAAGGTGGATGAGAACTTTGACTAACGAGCAATCAGTGGCTTCCTGCATGTATCTGAAATCAACAATTACATCCACTTTCTCGCTTCTAATCCCATTGTCTCTCACTGTGAGCCACGCTTAACAAAGGAGGACTGGGATCCAAGAATACCGGAGGGCTACAGACTGGAGGCAGTGATAGATTTTATTTTCCTGGGCTCCATGATCTTTGCAGGCGGTGACAGCAGCCACGAAATTAAAAGACGCCTGCTTCTTGGGAGGAAAGCGATGACAAACTTAGACAGCATCTTAAAAAGAAGAGACATCACCATGCCGACAGCGGTCCGAATAGTCAAAGCTATGGTTTTTCCTGTAGTGATGTATGGAAGGGAGAGCTGGACCATAAAGAAAGCAGACCGCCGAAGAATTCACGCCTTTGAATTGTGGTGCTGGAGGAGGCTCTTGAGAATCCCCTGGACTGCAAGGAGAACAAACCTATCCATTCTGAAGGAAATCAACCCTGAGAGCTCACTGGAAGGACAGATCCTGAAACTGAGGGGCCAATCTTTTGGCCATCTCATGAGAAGAGAAGACTCCCTGGAAAAGACCCTGATGTTGGGTAAGGGTGAAGGCAAGAGAAGAAGGGGACAACAGAGGATGAGATGGCTGGACAGTGTCTGAGAAGCAACCAACATGAATTTGACACAACTCCGGGAGGCAGTAGAAGATAGGAGGGCCTGGTGTGGTCTGGTCCATGGGTCACAAAGAGTCGGACACGACTAAACGACTAAACGACGACGACAGACTCTCCCAGGCTGGTGAAGATACATGACCATATGGACAGGCAGAGCAGCATATGTGAAGTTTCCTGGCAAAATTTGGCTTTTGTTTTTCTTCCCATGAGCTCAAGGTGGTACAGGGATGTCTCCTGTTTCTCCGTAAAATGTTTTCCAACCCACTGGGAGCCCATCAGCCCTGGAACTGAGCAAAAAAAAAAATAAAAAAATATATTGTAAAGCCACTGCTCCTGGAAGTGTCTAGGTATAGAAGACTATTTTTTCCAGATTTGTTTTTCCATCAAAGGGGCATCTGGCAGGCACAAAAATGGCCTTGGCAGCTGCATGCGACCACATATAAAAAGACTGTGGAACTGGAAAAGGTGCAGAAACAGAGCGACTCAAGTGAGGACTGGGCTGAGGCACATTCCCTGATGAGGAAAGGCGACAGCATTTGGGGCTCCTGAGTCTGGAGAAAAGGCACCTGATGGGGGGGACCTGTATAAAATGTATAAAATTATACAGGGGATAGATAAAGATGGATCAAGTGGAGAGAGGGAAGCTCTTTTCCCTCTCATGCGATACCAGTGCCAGGGGACATCCACTCCAGTTGAGTGTTGGGAGAGAATGGAACAAAGAAAATATTTCTTCACCCAGCATGTTGTTAGTCTGTGGAACTCCTTGCCACAGGATGTGATGACGGCATCTAGTCTAGATGCTATTAAAATGGGATTGGACAGATTCTTGGAGGAAATGTCCATCGCAAGTTACAACCCATGATGGGGATGTACAATCTCCAGGTACCTCCAAATGCCAGATGCTGGGGAGGGCTATCAGGAGACAGGTACCTTGTGGTCTCTTGTGGGCTCCCAGAGGCATCTGGTGGGGCTACTGTTGAGATACAGGGAGATGAACTAGATGGGCTCTTGGCCTGATCAAGCAGGGCTCTTCTTATGTTCTTATGCACTTTGCCCAGCCATGTTGACCTCACTCATCAACTTATAGTAAATAATGAAGATGAAGACAGAGTGAATAAATGTGAAGACAGAAAGGCTATAAACATATTACTGGAAGAAAAGGGGGCTTTTTGTTTCTGTCATGGTGGAATTTTTTGTTGACAAGAGTGAGTAGTGGGGTGTAAGATATGGAAGTTTAAGAAACCCTGGTCTAAAGGACTGTAGTTTTAGCTGTGTTTTAATGAGGAGTGGAATACATACAATGTATGAATCTCATAGGTTTAAGAGTACTTCATCTACAGATCTGGGAAATATTTCTCACTGTAAAACCGGACAGTACTCACTGAATGAGACCCAAGTGTTTTGGAATGCTACTTTTTTTCCAGCTACAACTCTCCGAAACCCTGTCAATGAACAATTGGGATTGGAAGTCCAAGAAAAGTATATATTTTTTCCCACCCAAACTGTGGAGAAGAAAATATCTACTTCCATAGGAAGCAATGCCATGTGTCAATTTCTGGGGGAACAGAGGTTGGGGTCGTGAGCCGCATCCAACCATGTGCCTGGGTGCCCTTCAGCATCAAAATTTTGGTAGGGTCCACAACGTCCAAACAAGGATTCCTTGGAATGAGCGCAGCCCTGGGGGGGCTGGATTACACATTCATGGCTTCTGGTTTTAAATCCAGCTCAATGGGAAAGTGTGCTGTCTCTTTTTAACTGCTGGGAGGGAGTGCCGACTTTGAAAACACGCTCACGCAAATCCTGAAAGTAACTGAAGGAAAAGCTTAAGCCCGGCCTCAGCATGGGAGCCGGCTTGGATTCCCGACTGCTCCAGTTTCCGAATTATTCCCCAGCCGGTGACGGCATCTTGACCTTTGCTATAGCAACCCACTGAGAGGCCACTGTAAGCAAGGAAATGGTCTGGCGTGTGTGGGGGGAGATGAGCCAGGAAAGCCAACGCTAACGATCTCATGGCCATTCATCTCAGAGCCTAGAACTGGGGGATTCTGGGACTCGTTGTCCAAGCCCACGAGCTGATCCCAACGCTGCTTCGAATGGGCATAACATCCTTTCTCCGGGGCAGAGTCTGGTGGAAGGAAATGGAAATGATGAATGAATCGCCTTCCATGGGAAGTAGGCGACTGTAGCAGGAGCAACGTGTTTTATATTTTTTTTATTTTGCTCATTTAACATATTTTTACCCCGCCTTTCTCCTGAAAAGGACCCAAGGTGGCTTATAACAGTTAAAAGACAATGTTTAAAAGCTAAAAACAACAGTTAAAGGACAATGTTTAAAAGCTAAAAACATTGAGTATGCAAGTGTTAATGGAGAATTAAACAAGGATTATATTCAAAATAGCAAGTGTTAATTGAGAATTAAACAAGGATTATATTCAAAATAGTCAATAAAATCAATACTAAAAGCGCATTTAAAAATAACAGAGCACAACCATCCAATTTGAAAACCCCCTTTCAGATAGCCTATCACTAAGAGAAAGCCTGCCTGAAGAGACAGGTCTTGGGCTGCTTGCGGAAGGACAGCAAAGATGGGGCCAGGCTGGCCTCCAGTGGGAGGGAGTTCCAACGGCTGGGAGCAGCCACAGAGAAGACCCTTTCCTGGGTCCCCACCAAGCATGCCTATGAAGGTGAGGATCTTAATTCCTGGACAGGCTTATAGATACACTCTTTTAAATAGCTTGGACCCAAACTGTTTAGGGCTTTATAGGTTAAAACAAAGTGAATGGTTGTAGCGCAGTGAGGGAACCCTTGCTTTATAGTCGAAAGGTTGACAGTTCCATAGCACCCTTTCCATTGGAACGGCTACCGTAGCAGTTGATGGAAAATACTTCTGAGAATTTGGACGGTAGCAGCAAGTGGAATACTAAATACTACTGGATTAGCTTAGGCATGGAAAAGAACTATTCATTAACAAAGTTGGTTGGTTGGTTGGTTGGTTGGTTGGTTGGTTGGTTGGTTGGTTGGTTGGTTGGTTGGTTGGTTGGTTGGTTGGTTGGTTGGTTTTACAAATGCATCAAAGTTATGGCTTGCGAAACTCATCAGTAAGAAGCTAGGAGCATCTGGTTCTTTCTTCTCCTTTTTTACCCAATTATTCTCAAGGAAACTGGGCGATCTAGCCTTGGGTGAAACCAGGTTCAATTCCCCGCTTAGCCATCCAGCTCACTCATGCTCTTCTCAGAGCAATCTCGCTCTCCGTTTCTCTGAGCCTGACCTATCTAGCAAGGTTGGCATGGAGTGGGGGAAAAGATGGCCGCGTGGGTTGCCCTGAGCTTACCCGAGGCAAGGTGGGATGTAAATGTCATTCATGAAGTGAATACACTCAAAGGTTCCCCCCACCCTCTTCTCTTCACAGAGCAACCGACGGGACATCGGCGGGAACAACTGCTTGAAGGCAAGAGGTGCGAACCACCTGAAGGTGCTCCAGAGATGAGCCCCGTGACCGTCTGTCCAAGAAGTCAGGGCAGGATGGGATTCACGCCTCAAAAGAGAACGGGGTCAAATGTCCCCAGATAGGACTGGGGGTGGGGGGAATGGAGACCGGGGCTGTGCCTAGTGGTTATGGATAGAAAGCCCCACGTTGAAGGGGGGACTTCCACGTGGTGGACTCTGTGGAGAAACACGGAAGAATGTGGGAACTGCCCACACAATCGGACTGCAAGGCCAGGAGGACCCGGGGCAGCAGAGAGCAAGGGCCTCCAGGAAAAATCAGCCTTCAGGGGGAAAAAAAACCTCCCCTTCTCTTGACCAGGAGCAGGGCGGAGGGCCTGGCAGGCGTTGGCTGTGTTGGTGGCGCATGGATCTCCAGCCTCCCTCCGACAGCGCAGGGCGGACGTGCGGAGCTTGACCGAGACAGAGCTTCTTGGCTGGTCTGTGGGATCACGGGTGTTGTTATTGTGTGCTTCTTCAGCAGGCTTGAAAAATAAAGATATTTTTCCTCACCCCCCCTTTGTGACTTTGTCGTGTTTCCTGAGCCTGGTTTGTTCACGGCATCCTTCTGCAACAGGTGAGTAAGGAACCAGAGCAGAGAGCCTGTGGATAAACTCTCCATGAAGAAGACATATTAGCAAATCCAACAGGAAGTGAATTAACACATAGACCATTTCCTCCGATCCGGGAGAACTTATAGTATGTTCTTAGGCCTGCACACCACAGGGAGTGCCTGATTGAGCATCTATCCTCTCCGCAATTTTTGCCATTGAAAATTACACTCTCTATATCCACCACAATTTCGGATTTCTTTCCTTTCTACAATTAATATTTTCTTTATGTCATAGGTAGAGTTTTCTCCTCTACCACTGCGGAGGTACGTTTACCAATCCGGCCCCTCCGGCGATACCAAGCTACACTTTCCGCCAGCCTAGACAGAATGCAAGCGTAATCTAGGATCTACTCGCTGGGGATGGTGGTAGTTGTAATCCAGACCATCTGGGGAAAGCCCAGAAAGCCAATAGCTTCTGGACAAGCAAAAGAAAATGCTCCTTTAATCAGTATGTAACCTTCAAAGCCACAAGCTGGGGTGATGATCAGTTTCGACAACAAATTTAAACAATTCCCTCTCTGTTGATTGAAAACTAACCTTTAAAATGGCAGAAAAAGGGTTTATCCCCAAGTGAACCTTTTGGGCTACAAACCCTCCTGGTTTGCGGATGATGCCAGCAACAGAGCGACATGAGCAGACTGTGTCCCTCTTCTTTGCATGAGGGTACACTGACACACACACACACCCCAATTCGGAGCCGGCTGATGTGGGAAGAAGCCTGCCCGATTCTTTGCCTGGGAATGGTGCAGAAAAGTGAGAGCAATTCAGTGGCCCTGGCTGAGTCAGAGGCTGTCCAGCCCAGCTGCAGAGCCAGGAAGCTGGGGATTCATTTCCTCATAAACATGCACCATTCCCTTTTATAGGCTGGAAGAGCCCAGCCTCGGATCTTCTCTTTCCAGTCGTCCAAACAGATTTTCCCCGGAGAAGCCAAAGAGGCCGTCTGGAGCTGATCCTTAGCAAGGTTAGCTCCGGAGGGCACCAAGAAAGGGCATTTTCAGGGAACTCAAAACTGGCCGTAATCTGCAAGCCCTGAGCAACCCAACCACAGCCAGCACCTTTGGGAGGTGATTAATTCATAAGGTCATCATGAATAATAATTTTTAAAGACTTTACGGTATATAGGAACAGCAAGACGGGCAAATGTGAGCAGATTGGTGGGGCCTCATTTTGAATCCTGTGTCCAGTTCTGGACACCACACTTCAAGAAGGATGCTAACAAATTGGAGCAAGTTTGGAGGAGGGCAACAAGGAGGATCAGGGGGCTGGAAACCAAGCCCTGAGAGGGAAGGCTGGAAGAATTGAGCATGTTTAGCCTTGAGAAATGAAGGCTGAGGGGTGATATGATAGCACTTTTCAAATATTTGAAAGGCTGTCCTACAGAGGAGGGGCAGGATCTGTTCTCGATCATCCCAAAATGCAGGACACACAACAATGGGCTCAAGTTAAAGGAATCCAGATTTCGGTTGAATATCAGGAAAAATGTCCTAACTGTTTGAGCAGTATGAAAATAGAACCCATGACCTCAAGAGGTGGTGAGTGCTCCAACGCTGGAGGCCTTCAAGAAAAACTTGGATAATCACCTGGCTTTGATTGTATTCCTGCCTTGAGCAGCGGGTAAGCATATCTTTTTGGGGGAATATTAACTTGTGACATTGCTGAGCTCAACTGGTTAATAAGTTTCAGGCTTAACTGACTGACTGGTCACATAGTGCAGTGGTCCCCCACCTTGGGCCTCCAGATGTTCTTGGACTACAACTCCCAAAAGCCTTCACCACCACCTCTGCTGGCGAGGATTTCTGGGAGTTGAAGTCCAAGAACATCTGGAAGCCCAAGGTTGGGGACCACTGACATAGTGGACAGAAGCCTTCACTTTAACTGTTCACTTCTGATTCCGTAACTCCAGCATTGACAGAACACGAGCTGAAGCCGGACTGGGAAAAAGGCAGAGAAATAATCTCATTGACTGCTACTCCGTTGATTGACGCCCACCACCGCTTCCTCCCAGCCAAAAGCTCTCAAAGGCATCCGATTTGAGGTGCTGTATATATTGAACACGGACCAGAGCCGAGATGATTGTAGGTTGGGACTGGAATTTTGAATTGCAGAAAGAACATGCTGGGTTGTAGAAATCTGGGAGGGATAATTTCAGGGATGTAAGCTGCCTTGAGTCCTTCCTTTTAAAGGAGAAAGGCAGGGTAAAA